CATTTTTAGTAGAGACAGGGTTTCACCATGTTGGCCAGGCTGATCTTGAACTCCTGACCTCAGGTGATCCGCCCACCTCGGCCTCCCAGAGCGCTGGGATTACAGGCGTGAGTCACCACACCAGGCCTATCCCTCCTTTTCTTCTAGTCTTTTCCTTCTGGGTCTCCACCGAGGCCAGCATCAGTGTTCTTCAGCCTATAGAAATGCTCTTTAGGCCTCTCGGCATGGATCAACTGACCTCAGTACTCTGTGACTTCTGGAATCTAAAATAAAGGGAAGCCCTTTCATCAGATGTGTGGGCAAAACCCCACCCCTCCTCCCTTTGGGGTGGAAAACACCGGTGGGTCTAGTGATTTCTATCTTTACGATTCACGTGGCTTATGGATGACATGAAATTAGTTTGAACCCTTCCTGAATGTTGGCTCAGCAATGAAAATCATCTTCCCAGAAGAGAGGAGGGGGAAAGGAGGGAGTTTGGGGCTCTGGGCACCATCTTTGTTTTTTTGTTTTGTTTTGTTTTGTTTTGAGATGGAGTCTCTTTCTGTCACCTAGGCTGGAGTGCAGTGGCATGATCTCAGCTCACCACAACCTCTGCCTCCCGGGTTCAAGCAATTCTCCTGCCTCAGCCTCCCAAGTAGCTGGGACTATAGGCACACACTACCATGTCCAGCTAATTGTGTGTGTGAGTGTGTGTTTAGTAGAGACAGGGTTTCGCCGTGTTGGCCAGGATGGTCTCGATCTCCTGACCTCATGATCTGCCAGCCTCGGCCTCCCAAAGTGCTGGGATTACAGCATGAGCCACTGCGCCTGGCCTCTGGGCACCATCCTAACAGGGTAGATATTTAAAAACACCGACAGTGGTCTTTGGTCTGTGGCTAGGACTAAGAACACGCCATGTCCAGCCTCTGATCTCTATCCATCACAGCACGACTGTCTCTTTGCAGGTCCCTTTCTCCCTTCCCTAGATGTGAGGCTGAGGGGCTCATTCTTCATTGATCTTGCTCCTATGAGCCAGGCAGGGGTTGAGGGAACGTCTGATTCCCCTCAGCTCCGCTGCTTCCATCAGCTTCCAACTAAGTCTAGAAAACCAATGCTAAGTCCTTTTTCATTCACCTTCCTCTTTGAGCCAATGCCTACTTATTCATTCATCTCAGATTTTCGCTTCTGTTTTCAAGGGGAGGAGAAACATCTTCAGAGGAAGACCGCCGCATTGAGGCTGAACACGGCTTTGTCTTTTTCATTGCATCTTTCAGGCTTAAATAATCGCCTTTAGAAAAACCCTCTGCACCACCTTGTTCAATCACCTGGTCCTTTGAGAAGAATGTAGAGAGAATGCGGTGTTAACCAGCAATAAAGGAATTCTGATTTAATGCTGGGATCTGCTTTCTCTGCTTCCTAAGATGAGAGCAATGAGTAGGGAAAGAAAGGCTGGTGGCCAGGCTGCTGAGTCTCATGGCGTGTAGAGGTCAGACTCTCAGGACAGGGACCTCCAGGAGCCATTACAGCCTGCTGCCTCTTTTGGGGGAGATCACAGATTTGGGTGTTTGTAGGTACTTATTACATTAATGTACTTGTTACATTAATAATAAATAATATGCCTGGGTAAAGTAATTTTTCTTTTTTCTAGTGACAGGGTCTCACTATGTTGCCAGGCTGTTTGTGAACTCCTGGCCTCAAGTGACCCTCCCTTCTCAGCTTGCCAAAGGAGTCCACTTTTTCTTAATTCCTATTTTATAAAGCAAAGCAATTGGCTGGGTGTGGTGGCTTACACCAGTAATCTCAGCACTTTGCGGGGCTGAAGCTGGTGGATAGCTTGAGCCCAGGAGTTTGCAACCAGCCTGAGCAACATAGGGAAAACCTGTATTTGCCAAAAAAACAACAAAACAAAAACCAAAAATTAGCTGGGCATGGTGGCATGCACCTATGGTCCCAGGTACTCAGGAGGCTGAGGCAGTGGATGGTGTGAGCCCAGGAGGCGGAGGCTGCAGTGAGCCGAGATCGCACACTGCACTCCAGCCAGGGTAACAGAGGGAGACCCTGTCTCAACAGTAAATACATAAATATGCTGGACGCGGTGGCTCACATCTGTAATCCCAGCACTTTGGGAGGCTGAGGCAGGTGGATCACATGAGGTCAGTTCAAGACAGCCTGGCCAACATGGTGAAATCCTGTCTCTACTTAAAAAAAAAAAAAAAAAAAATTAGCCAGGTGTGGTAGCACATGCCTGTAATCCCAGCACTTTGGGAGGCTGAGGCAGCAGATTACATCATGAGGTCAGTTCAAGACAGCCTGGCCAACATGGTGAAATCCTGTCTCTACTTAAAAAAAAAAAAAAAAAAAATTAGCCAGGTGTGGTAGCACATGCCTGTAATCCCAGCTACTTGGGAGGCTGAGGGATGAGAATCGCTTGAACCTAGGAAGTGTAGGTTGCGTGAGCTGAGATGGCACCACTGCACTCCATTCTGGCCAACAGAATGAAACTGTCTCAAAAATACATATATACATACATAAATACATAAATAAAACAAAACAAAGCTATTGAACCAGTTGAACCAGATGACTCATCTTATACATCTAATCCATAGACTTCAAAGCAAGAAAAACTTGGAGGAAGGCATGAAGTTAATTCTTTATTTTGACTTTTTATTTTAACCTTTGCATTTCTGGAGTGTCTTGTGAAGGTCAGGAGGAATCTATCTTTTCTGTTTCATAGCACAGACTGATGGCAGGACTCAAGGGATGGAACAGACTTCTCATCTTAGAGAGACACAGTCTCTCGGTGGCCCAGTACAGACCAGCGCAGAGGCTGGGAGCTTCTAGGAAAGGCCTCACAACAACCTGGCTGAACTGGGGATTTGGGGAATCCTGTCATCTCTCTCTTTGCATGATGACATTTTTTGGGGGGATTAATTCCCCAGGGATCAGCTTGCTCTAAACCTTGATAATCCAGATTTGTGGTTTAATTCAGTCTCCTGAGTATCTTACACAAGGAAAGGGATGTGGGAGGTGAGAGACTGAGAAAGAGAGAGAGAGAGAGATCAGACAGCGCTTCCAGGAAATCAGGAAAAGGGAGGCGGTGACTTTTTTTTTTTTTTGAGACGGAGTTTCACTCATGTTACCCAGGCTGGAGTGCAATGGCGCGATCTTGGCTCACCGCAACCTCCGCCTCCTGGGTTCAGGCAATTCTCCTGCCTCAGCCTCCTGAGTAGCTGGGATTACAGGCACGCGCCACCATGCCCAGCTAATTTTTTGTATTTTTAGTAGAGACGGGGTTTCACCATGTTGACCAGGATGGTCTCGATCTCTTGACCTCGTGATCCACCCGAGGAGGCGGTGACTTTAAATGCCACTTGCACCAGCCATTTCCAAGTCCAGCCTCAACAACTCTATTTCAGCTCTGTGATTGATTCACCTCCTTCTTTTTTTTTTTTGTATCAAAAACAAATATTATTTTATTGTCTTCTCTCTTTGTCTCATAGCTTTAGTTTCACAATGCCTCCCATAACTTCTTTTTCTTAAATTGTACTTTGAGCTCTGGGGTACATGTGCCCATCCACAGGGTGGTTGCATAGGTACCCACATGCCATGGTGGTTTGCAGTCTCCGTTCCCCCCATCACCTACATGAGGCATTTCTCCCAATGTTATCCCTCCCCAACCTCCCCACCCCCCGCCCTTCCTCTAGCCCCCCACCCCCCAACAGACCCCAGTGTGTGATGCTCCCCTCCCTGTGTCCACGAGTTCTAATTGTTCAACACCCGCCTATGAGTGAGAACATGCAGTGTTTGGTTTTCTGTTCTTGTGGCAGTTTGCTGAGAATGATGTTTTCCAGATTCATCCATGTCCCAACAAAGGACACAAACTCATCGTTTTTTATGGCTGCATAGTATTCCAGGGTGTATATGTGCCACATTTTCTGGGTCCAGTCTATCATCCATGGGCATGTGGCATAGGCAAGGTCTTCATGACTAAAACACCAAAAGCAATGGCAACAAAAGCCAAACTAGACAAATGGGATCTAATCAAACTTAAGAGTTTCTGCGCGCAAAAGATACAATCGTTAGAGTGAACTGGCAACCAACAGAATGGGGAAAAATTTCTGCACTCTGCTCATCTCATCTCCTTCTTTTTATTTTTATAGATTTAGGGAGTACAAGTGCAGTTTTGTTACACGGTGAAGTCTGGACTGTTAGTGTAACCATCACCTGAATAATGTATAATTTGTCTCTCTCTTACCAGGAGAGAGAAACAGGAGCTTTGCAACAGTTGAAGCAGGCAGGGGAAGAGCAGAGACTATGTGCTGAACCTTTTGCTATCCAACAGGAGAAAAGACTAGTTTAGGCCAAGGGGAAGCTGGGGAAGAGACTCTGGCAGGTCACAGGGACTTGGAGGGACATGAAGTGAAACGACTCAGGGATCACTGGAATGTCTGGAGTGGCCGCTGGACCCTCCCGTGCTTCCCACTTCCTTCCGGAGACTCTTCCTTCTTAATCTAGCTCTGCAGATGCCCCCATCCTGGCAAAGCTGCCGCTCTCGGCCTCACCTCCTGCATACCGCTGCACGCCAATCCCCTCCCTCCCCGCCGCCCTCCCTCTCTGCTTTAGGGGGCTTTGGGGCTTTGGTTCTCCACAATCTCTTGCTCCATGTTGAGCAGGTGGTGAGGGTCTGGGGCTTCCAGCACTTCCTCAGCGAGACATCATCTTCACAAACTCTGCAAAGAAAAAAAATCCCCAGTAAGGCATCTCTTTGTGAAAGCCCTCAACATTACATTTTGAGCCCTTCCTAGGTGGCAGGCACTGCTGGTGATCTCTGGAAAATTCCTTAATCCCTCTATGCTTTCATTTCTCCATCTATGAAATGGGAATCAGATCTTTGACAAGTTACTTAACACTGTGCCTCAGTTTCCAATCTGTCAAGTAGGGACATTTATAATAGATCCACCTCCTGAAGTTGAGATAAAATTGGCATAGAGGCCGGGCTTGGTGGCTCCTGCCTGTAATCCCAGCACTTTGGGAGGCCGAGGTGGGTGGAGTTCAAGACCAGCCTGGGCAACATAGTGAGACCCCACCTCCACAAAAGAGTAAAAAAAACAAAAATTAAAATAGGTAAATAAAAGTTGCTCAGAACCATGCCTACCATCTCAGTCACCTCATGTAAAGTACTGTTGTGATTATGCTCATACTTCTGAATGACTAATTTCAATATGTTACAGTTTCTTCATTTCTGTTATGAAAATGATCTTTGTATGTACATAAAACATTAAATTAAAAAAATGGGGATCCTAGTATTGCTATTTCCTTATATGGTTTTTAAGACTGTTAATGGCATAATGCTCATAAAAGAGATTAAATATCCCATAAACAGCTATTGTTGGCCAGACGTGGTAGCTCATCCCTGTAATCCCAGCACTTTGGGACGTTGGGGCGGGTGGATCACTTGAGGTCAGGAGTTCAAGACCAGCCTGGCTAACAAGGTGAAACCGCATCTCTACTAAAAATACAAAAATTAGCTAGGCATGGTGGCGCACCTGTAATCCCAGGTACTCAGGAGGCTGAGGCAGGAGAATCACTTGAACCCAGGAGGTGGAGGTTAAGTGAGCCAAGGTCGTACCACGGCACTCCAGCCTGGGCGACAGAGTGAGACTCCATCTCAAAACCAAAGCCAAAACCCATAAACCTGTGATTGTCAGCTTCTGATTTTTTCTTCTCAACCATCCTGGAGGGGTAAGTGTCATTTTACAGATAAGAAAATTGTGGCCAGCGAGGGTAACCAACATGCCTGAGGTCATGTGGACAGCGAATGGTGAACCCTGGAAGGAACGCAGGTTGCACCTGACTTTGCTATGGCTCTAGATGACCTTGCTGTCCACCGGGTCTTATGGTCAGCCTGACCTTTCCTTGCCCTTGGTTGGTGTGAGGATTGCCTCCCACTCCCACCCCACCTTCTCCAGATGTCCATTGATGTCCACGGCACACCTAATCCTGGCTAGATCCAGCAGGCGTCCCACCAACATCCACTATGTTTCCATACTGGGACATAGAGCACATGTGGTTTAGAGAAGGCCCCTCCTTGCTCTCTATCTAGGATGGAGGCCTCGGAAGTGAATACAGCTCAACACAGCAAGATCTCCTGTGCTAACTTGCCAGCTGCATGCCGGATGAATAAAGGCACTCACACACAGAATACAGTGGCGCAATCTCGGCTCACTGCAACCTCCGCTTCCCAGGTTCAAGCAATTCTCCTGCCTCAGCCTCCTGAGTAGCTGGGATTACATGAGCACACCACCACACCCAGCTAATTTTTATATTTTTAGTAGAGATGGGGTTTCACCATATTGGCTGGGCTGGTCTTGAACCTCCCACCTTGGCCTCCCAAAGTGCTGGGATTACAGGCGTAAGCCACCGTGCCCAGTTCAGTCTCTTTCTGATGGGACAACTTCTTCCTATGGTAAAAGGTGCCCTTCAAGCTAAGAAGGAATGGGCAAGGTGGAAGGGGGTCCTGAGCATGGGAAGGAAAGGGCCTTGGCTGAGGTGTTCCTTAGAGCCGCCACAAGGGAGGGACATCCAGCTCTCTGAAATGAATGACCTGGGAAGAAAGGGATGGAACAGATGCTTCCAAAACCTGCCACCCACTTCCAATCTCAAACTTGGAGAGGAGTGAGAAGGAGCGGCCAGCTTGGAAAATCTCACAGCGAGGTGGAAGTGGATTCCCGCAGTGGCCGCCCCTACCACTCCCAGCAATGTTACCTTCAAAGTCAACGGTGCCGTCTCCATTAACATCAGCCTCCCGGACAACCTCAGAGATCTCCCGGGGGGTGAGCCGCTCCCCCAGGAGTCTTTGCATGGCCTGCTGCAGCTCTGCCAGGGTGATCTCCCCATCTCCGTTCGTGTCAAACTGAATGGAAGCAGAAGTAGATTATATCAGCAATGACAGTGATGACAGCAACAGGGAGATGGAGTTTACCCATCGCTTACTGTGGGTCAAGTACTAAGCTAAGAGCTTTGGGAATGTGAGTCGATAGAATGTCAGCTCCTAAAGACAGTTTTGTTCTTTTTTTTTTGAGACAGTCTCACTCTGCCACTGAGGCTGGAGTCAGTGGTGCAATCTCAGTGCCCTGTAACCTTCACCTCTTGGGTCCAAGCGAGTCTCGTTCCTCAGCCTCCCCAGTAGCTGGATTACAGGTGCCTGCCACCATGCCTAGTTAATTTTTGTATTTTTAGTAGAGATGGGGATTCACCATGTTGGCCAGGCTGGTCTCGAACTCCTGATCTCAGGTGATCCATCCACCTTGGCCTCCCAAAGTGTTGGGACTACAGGCGTGAGGCATCGTGCCTGGCCAAAACTTTTTTTTTTTATGAGAAGGGATCTCACTATGTTGGCCAGGTTGGTCTTGAACTCTTGGCCTCACGTAACCCTTCTGCTTTGTCCTTTCAAAGTGCTAGGCTTAACAGCATGAGCCAACGTGCCCAGCCATACATTTGAAACTTACTTTCTAAGTGATTTTGAAACATACATTATTCTTGACTATAGTTATCCTGCTGTGCAATAGATCTCAAAAGTTATTCCTCCTGTCTAACCAAAAGTTTGCACCCTTTGACAACCTACTGTCCATTCCTTTTCCCTGACTCCCCAGCCTCTCTGCTAATCACCTTTCTTTTTATTTCCGTGAGTTCGATTTTTTTTAATACTTTAAGTTCTGGGGTACAAGTGCAGAAGCTGGGATAGGCACTTACATAGTGAATAGGTGGAGACTTCCTGGGGTTTGAACCCATGCTTGCCTGGTTCCAAAGCCTTTGCTCCCAAACACCATACTAGTCTTTGTTTTCATGTCGTGTTGCTCAAAGTTCTCCGAATGGGAAGGTATTTTATCAAGGGATATGAGCAAGTCTGTCACCCTCTGGGTCTGATACGTTTTAGCATCTCTGCAGCAAGTGGCTTATACCAGATTATCACTTTGCATTCCCTTCTGGGATCTCAAATTCTTGGATTCTTTCTTCCTGTTACAGGCACTAAGAATGGAGGTCCTGGCCAGGCGTGGTGGCTCATGCCTGTAATTCCAGCACTTGGGAGGCAGAGGCCAGTGGATCACCTGAGGTCAGGAGATTGAGACCAGCCTGGTCAACATGGTGAAACTCTTGTCTCTACTAAAAATACAAAAATTTTCTGGGTGTGGTGGCAGGCGCCAGTAATTCCAGCTACTTGGGAGGCTGAGGCAGGAGACTCACTTGAACCTGGGAGGCAGAAGTTGCAGTGAGCTGAGATTGTGCCATTGCACTCCAGCTTGGGTGACAAGAGTGAAATTTTGTCAAAAAAAAGGAAAAGAAAGGAAGGAAGGAAGAAAAAAAGAAAGAAAGAAAGAAAGAAAAAGAAAGAAAGAAAGAAAGAAGGAAAGAAAGAGAAAGAGAGAGAGAAAGGGAATACAATAGAGATCCTAATATTTATTTTAGAGAAGGCAGGATCTTGGATAAGATTTACAATCTTCATAAGCCTCACTTTCCTCATCTGTATAATTGAGGTAAGTGACTGCCTAATCCTAATTTTTTTGAGGATTAAATCAGATAAAGTATGCAGAGGCATTGATCCCTTTCAGGTGTTTGGAATATGTTATTTTTCTTCCCTATTTATTGATTCCACCATGGCTAGAAAAAAAAGGGTGGGGGCCTGGTTGGTGGGTGCTGTCCATGGTACTGGCTAGGGACAGGTCTCTGGGGTCTGCCTCTACCATCACCAGCACGAGGACACTGTTTACTCACCTCCTTGAAGGCATCCCGCATCTCCTGGACACCAATCATCCCAGCTGTTTCTGCAAGCAATTTGGGGGTCATCAGCTCCACAAAGTCATCAAAGTCTACACGGCCACCCACTGAGGAAGATGGCATACGGTTAGCAAGACCCCACAAGCCCCAGCCTTCCATTACCTCACTTTGCGCTTTGAGTCAGTTCGAGAAATAGATCAGCTCCCATCTCCCTGCCCTAGAAGAGATGTCTTTGACTTCCTCCCTCCAGCAGCCAACTCCAAGCTCTTATGTCCCTCTAGACTGAACAGGAGTGGGCAGGGTGTGGTACTGTGGAACTAACTGTCTCTGTGACTTTCAGACAGTTGGTTAAGATGTTTCTCGGCCAGGCGTGGTGGCTCACGCTTGTAATCCTAGCATTTTGGGAGGCCGAGGTGGCTGGATCACCTGAGTTCGGGAGTTCTAGACCAGCCTGACCAACATGGAGAAACCCCATTTCTACTAAAAATACAAAATTAGCCGGGCATGGTAGCACATGCCTGTAATCCCAGCTACTTAGGAGGCAGAGGCAGGAGAATCGCTTGAACCTGGGAGGTGGAAGTTGCACTGAGCTGAGATTGCGTCATTGCACTCCAGCCTGGGCAATAAAAGTGAAACTCTGTCCAAAAAAAAAAAAAAAAAAAGGAGAGAGAGAGATGTTTCTCCTCTTCTGTAGACCTATAGAAAGAGGAGTATGAATTAAATGTGCATCCAAGTTTTTTTCAGATAAGGAATACCATCATTACCTTGAATTCAACCTTTTTTACTCAGTTACATGCCCAGAAGCAAACCCAACAGCGTTTTTTTTGTTTTTTGAGACAGAGTCCCACTCTGTTGCCAAGGCTGGGGTGCAATGATGTGATCTTGGCTCACTGCAACCTCCGCCTCCCAGGTTCAAGCAATTCTCATATCTCAGCCTCCTGAGTAGCTGGGATTACAGGGGCACACCACCATGTCTGGCTAATTTTTTGTATTTTTAGTAGAGATGCAGTTTCACCATGTTAGCCAGGCTGGTCATGAACCCCTAACCTTAGGTGATCCACCCACTTTGGCATCTCAAAGTGCTGGGATTACAGGTGTGAGTCACCGTGCTGGCCTCAATAGCAATTTTATTCTAGCTAAAATCTCAAAATCAGCTGTGGTGTCCATCTTAAAATCCATCCTTTTTGCAATACGATTCACCAACATTAACTCCACCTCCAAGTTTGTTTCCAGCATCCAATAAGGCTCCAATCTTGTGCTCCATGGATGAATCTTAGTGGTGATAGTAATAACTACATTTAATAAGAATTTACTGGAGGCTAAGCCTTTACTTGCTTCAGCATCTTTATCCCTTCCTTTCCACAGTCCTATGGGGTAAGGAGAAAAGCATCTTTCTCTACAGAGGAGGAAATGGAAAGTCAAGAGTAGCGGATAACTCCACTTTTCAAAATGACCGTAATTAGTAAATAATAGAACTGAGATTTGAACACAGATGTATTTTGAAAAGCCTTTAACCACTTCAAATGCTGCCTCCCTGAGTTGAATCTGACCTGTTTTCTTCCAGACTTCTAGTCCTTCTCACCCTCCTCTCCAACCCCAACTCTACTCTCAACCTCTACATCCTTTCCAATGCTGCCCTGGTCCCTCTCCTCACCCCAGCCATCCCTTCCATTCCCTGGACTCACAGTTCATGCGGATTTGCTGGCCGAGTTCAATCAGTTCCATCTCCGTGGGCATGTAACCCATCGTCCTCATGAGATTCCCCAGGTCCTTACAAGAGATGAACCCATCTCGGTCCTTGTCGAACTCAAGAAATGCTTCCCGCAGCTCTGAAAGTTAAGAGAGAAGAACTTTGGGGGAACTTGAAACAGTCAGTGGGGAAGAATGGCATCCCTTGAAACTGTCAATGAGGCTTCAACTAGAGACTCCTTAAAGCATACATTTAAGAAAACCAAGGCCAGGCATGATGACTCACACCTGTAATCCCAGCACTTTGGGAGGATGAGGTGGGTGACTCGCCTGAGATCAGGAGTTTCAGACCAGCCTGGTCAACATGGCAAAACTCCATCTCTACTAAATACAAAAAATTAGCCAGGTGTGGTGGTGCATGCCTGTAATCTCAGCTACTTGGGAAACTGAGGCAGGAGAATGATTTGAAGGAGGTGGAGGTTGCAGTGAGATGAGATTGCGCCATTGCACTCCAGCCTGGGCAACAAGAGCAAAAGAAACAAAAAACCAACCAACCAACCAAACAAACAAAATGGCCGGGTGCAGTGGCTCATGCCTGTAATCCCAGCACTTTGGGAGGCCGAGGAGGGTGGATCACCTGGGGTCAGGAGTTCAAGACCAGCCTGACCAACAAGGAGAAACCCCGTCTCTACTAAAAACACAAAATTAGCTGGGTGTGGTGGTGCATGCCTGTAATCCCAGCTACTTGGGAGGCTGAGACAGGAGAATCGCTTGAACCCGGGAGGCGGAGGTTGCAGTGCGCCGAGATCGTGCCATTGCACTCCAGCCTGGGCAATAAGAGCAAAACTCTGTCTCAAAAAAAAAAAAAAAAGTGTTAGCAAGAGGCATCATTCCTGAGACCACTAAATGACAGCACTGATGTCCTTCAGATTCTTGGGTGAAGTTATGGGGAGCCTCAAAGCCACCAAGAGAAAAACTCATTGTTTTTTCACTCCCGAGTCTCACAGACACTTGAGGTTGGGTCTGCCTTCTAAATACTTGGGGAGGTACTTAAACTGCCACAAGAAAGAGTTCCACAGAATTACAGCTGCGTGGGAGAGGCGATTGTAAAAATTCCATGCAAAGGAATTTATTCGGAAATGCACAAAGGGACGGAGGGCAGGTCAGGTGGGTGGATGGCAACGTGGGGGCAATTGAGGAAGACGGTGTTACCTTCGATCTCATCTTGTCCCAGTGGTCTTTCCTGGAAAGGAATGCAGGTGAGAGGGAATTTAGAGAGAGGGTCACCCATTCCCCATATGGGTCCTCTTGCTCTCTCAAGCTCCTCCTCACACTCTCGTGGTTCTCTTCCCACTATCTCTCTCCCCCTCCATCCTTCCCATTCCTCTTCCCATCTCCTGACTCCTACTCCACAATTCTTGGCTCCCCACCCCTCTCGATTCCTCACTCTCATCCATGAATCCTGAGCTCCCTCATTCCCCCTTTCTTGGACAAATACCCATCACATTGTATCTTAAACACTGCGGAGTCCAATCTCCTCCTCCTCCAGATGAAGAAAGTCAGAGTTCATAACCACAGCTAACTCATTCAGAGTGCCGACTCTGTGCCAGGCGGTTTCCACGATCATTTCATTTAAACCTCAGAACCGCTCTGTGATGCAGATCTGCGTCTCGTTTCCATCTTACCCACGAGAAAGCTGAGGAACAGAGAGGTTAAGGATCCTGCCCAAGGTCACACAGCTCACAAGCGGCAGATCCCCTTCCAAGGCAGGGAAACATTAAATTACTCCCTGGAGGTCATGGGGCAAGTCAGGCACAGCACTGGGATTAGAATTCAGGGCTCCTGACTCTGAAGTCAGAATTCTTCACACTAGCCCCCATTAACTCTTCTCTCACCTGCCTCCAATCTTCCTGCCAAAGGTTGCAATCCCTGTGTACGGAACCAGCATTCAATGGCATTCAGGCAGGAGGGTCAGTGCCAGCACGACCAACTCCTAAACACTCTGAGAATTTCCAGTTGCCCCACTTACTCCTGGACATACCTGAAGGGTTGGGCTTAGATAGACATGGCATGTTAACAAGGAAATTCTACTGGCCTCTGGCCTCTCACCCCCTCATCTCCCTTTATTCCTGGAGCCTTTCCCTCAGCTTCTCTTTCATCTGATCCCCTCCCTGTGATCCCTTATCTCTTTTTTTCATTTTCTTTTTTTGGTGATCTTAAAGCCTAACAATTAAAAGCATATCCACATATCTGGACAAGTTGGTATATATGGGAAAAAAATTTAAAAAAATTTTTAAAAGCATGCCCACAGGAATCAAGCTGACCTGACCCTGTCATTTACTTTTCTCTCTTTCTTTCTTTCCCTTTCTTTCTTTCTTTCTCTCTCTCTCTCTCTCTCTCTCTTTCTTTCTTTCTTTCTTTCTTTCTTTCTTTCTTTCTTCCTTCCTTCCTTCCTTCCTTCCTTCCTTCCTTCCTTCTTTCTTTCTTTCTTTTTTGAGATAGAGTCTCACTCTGTTGCCCAGGTTGGAGTGCAGTGGCACGATCAGGGCTCACTACAGCCTCCACTCTCTGGGCTCGTGCGATCCCCCTGCCTCAGCCCCCTGACTAGCAGAGACTGCAGAGGCATGCCACCAAGCCCAGCTATTTTTTTGTTTGTTTTGTATTTTAAGTAGAGATGGGATCTCTCTGTGTTTCCCAGGCTGGTCTTGAACTCCTGGACTTCAGTGATCCTCCTGCTTCTGCCTCCCAAGGTGCTGAGATTCAGGTATGAGCCTGTACTTGGCCAACTCTGCCACACACTAACTGTGTAAGCTTAAGGCAAAGGACTTCATGACTTAGAGCTTCACTTTTCTCACCTATAAAATGGGAATGAAAGTCACTGACCTCCTGAGTTGTTCTGAGGTGTAAATGACATCAGACATGCAAATCCCTTTGCACAGTGCTGGGCACACAGCGATGACTTAATAAGTGGCAGCGATTTTTATTAACATCATCATTATCATCACCACCACGACTATAATCATCACCATCACCATCACCATCATCGTCACCATCATTGCCACCACCATCACCATTATAATTATCACCATCACCACGACCATCACCATCATCATCACCATCACTACCACCATCATCACCACCACCATCACCATCACCATCATCACCATCACCATCATCGTCACCATCACCACCATCACTACCACCACCATAATCATCACCACCATCACTATAATCATCACCATCACCACCACCACCATCACCATCATCATCACCATCATCACCACCACCACCGTCATCATCACCATCATCACATCACCACCACCATCATCACCATCACCACCACCATTACCATCATCATCACCATCATCACCATCACCACCACCATCATCATCACATTCATCAACACCATCATCACCATCACCATCATCATCACCATCATCACCATCGACACCACCATCATCATAGCCATCATCACATTCATCAACACCATCATCACCACCACCATCATCATCACCATCGTCATCACTGCCGTTATCACAATGAGCATCCATAGAAAAGAATGATGTCTCAACAATGACATCAACCCACTTCCCTGATTGTTTTTCTTCCCTTTCTCTCCTCTTTGCTCCCGACTTCTGATTTTACCCCCACCCATTTATCTCACTGGCTTACATGACCCCATGAGGGTCCTTGGAATTCTTGTACCTTCTCAGTTCCTGCTCTATCCACCTGTTCCCCTGGTTCTGTAGCACCATCATGTCCCTTCTTTGTCCCACACCCCTGGTCCCCTTGCCCTGCCCACAGCCCTTCCCCTTCACTCCCCACCTCACCCGCTGTTTCTCAGCGATGCCTTTCCTCAAAAAGATGCAGGCAGGGCCCATGGGGAACTGCATGGAGGGGTGGGGTGGAGCTCGCAGGGCACCAGTCTCAAGATGCCCCTCCTCCCTGCTCCCTGTTGGCGCTCAGCCTCCTTATCTTCTCTAGCACTCCTTTGCCACCTCTTCCTGCCTCTCCTGGCTTCTCTCTTGGTCCCTGTGTCTTAGAGCTGTGACAGCTGGGCTGGAAATCTCCACCCGGGTTGGGGAGGGATCAGAGCTGTCCCTGCCTCCCCATCTGGCTTGAATGATATGGGTGGGGAGAGCCAAAGTCAGGCTCTGTAACTCCTTTAACCCCAGAGTGGAATTGGAAGGTGCATTTTTAAAATGGGGATTAGAGGCCGGATGCGCTGCTCATGTCTGTAGTCCCAGTACTTTGGGAGGCTGAGGTGGGAGGATTGCTTGAGCCCAGGAGTTTGAGACCAGCCTGAGCAACATACAGAGACCTTGTATTTATTTAAAAAAAAAAAAAAAAAACTAAAATAAAAATTTGCCTTGCAGGGTGGCACACACCTGTAGACCCAGCTGCTCCAAAGGCTGAGATAGGAGAATTGCTTAAGCCCAGGAGTTCGAGGCTGCAGTGAGCTATGATTGCACCATTGCACTCCAGCCTGGCTGACACAGTGAGACTCTGTCTCAAAAAGGAAAAAGAAACAAAGAAAGAAAGAAAATTGGCTCACTGCAACCTAATTTTTTGTATTTTTAATAGAGATGGGGGTTTCACCATATTGGCCAGGCTGTCTCGAGCTCCTGACCTCAAGTGATCCGCCCGCCTCGGTCTCCCAAAATGCTGGGGTTACAGGCGTGAGCGGTAACCCCGAGAGTCTGTTTTTTACCATTTCCCTGCACTGCCCCCTGCCGCTCACAAGAATAAATGCATATGCAGGCAAGAATGAATGAGTTCCCCTTTCCGTAGAAGAGGAAACCGAGGTCGAGGAGCTGGGCGGGGGGACCCCAGCATCCTCTGACCTCTTTCCTTACCTCCCTGGCCCCGCCCGCAGGTGAAGCTGGTGTTCGTGGAGGACCAGGCGGTGGTGGAGACGGTGTTCTTCCTGACGTCGCGCACCAGGGCCCTGCTGCGGCGCTTCCCGCGCATGCTGCTGGTGGACCGGCTGCCGGGGCTGCAGGGCGCGCTGGATCTGCTGGCCGTGCTGTGCGTGGACGGCGCGGGCCGTGCGCGCCAGGCTGCCTGTTGCGTGGCGCGCCCGGGCACGCCGAGCCTGCTGCGTTTCGCGCTGGCGTCGCTGCTGCAGAGTGCGCCAGACGTCAAAGGCCGCGTGCGCTGCCTCACCGCCGGGCCGGAGGTGGCGGCACAGCTGCCCGCGGTGCGTCAGCTGCTGCCCTGCGCGCGTGTGCAGATCTGCCGCGCGCAGGGCCTGGAGACGCTCTTCAGCAAGGCGCAAGAGCTGGGCGGCGCTGGCCGCGAGGACCCGGGCCTGTGGTCGCGCCTGTGCCGCCTGGCTGGCGCGTCGTCGCCCGCCGCCTACGACCAGGCGCTGGCCGAGCTGCACGCCCACGGCCCGGCCGCCTTTGTCTATTACTTCGAGCGCAACTGGGAGCCCCGCCGCTGGACCCTCTCCATATGCCTCACATGTCCAGCTCACAAGTGTCAATTCAAGTTTAGCCTAAAGCTGCCTCCTTACGTATTTTCAGTTCGGCCTGAAGGGTTTTCTGTACATCGTGAACTGTAACAAGTGAGGTGTCAACCAAAGGTGAGCCTACACTTGTGCCAATCGCTGAGTTTTCGGCAATCACATGTAGCCAACTGGTCTAATTGTGTTCAAATAAGCAAACACTGAACTGTAATCAATCCAGCGGTTTTCTGTACCTCACTTCCGTTTTCTGTATGCCACCTGCCTTTTTCTGTCCACAAATCCTCCACCACATGGCTGTGCTGGAGTTTCAGCCTACTCTGGCTCAAGGCTGCCTGATTCGTGAATCTTTCATGGCTCAATTAAACTCTGTTTATTTATTTTGAGATGGAGTCTCGCTCTGTTGCCTGGGCTGCCGTGCAGTGGCATGATCTCGGCTCACCACAACCACCTCCGCCGCCTGTGTTCATGCATTCTCATGCCTCAGCCTTACCAGTAGCTGGGATTACAGGCACCCGCCACCACACCGGCTAATTTTTTGTATTTTAGTAGAGACGGGGTTTCATCATGTGGACCAGGCTGTTCTTGAACTCCTGACTTGAAGCCATCTGCCCTCCTCAGCTTCCCAAAGTACTGGGATTACAGGTGTGAGCCACCGTGCCCGGCAATTCAACTTCTTTAAATTTAATTCATGTGAAGTTTTTCTTTTATCACAAGTCACATCAATCCCTCAGGCCCCTGCTCAAATGCCACCTCCCCCTGAAAGCCATCCTTAACTTGTGTCTCTAAAGAGCCACACCAGCCCCTTTCTTTGCTTCATCCTTCACAGCACTTACCACTACTTGAAATTACACCACACAGCTATTTACCAACTTGGCCTTGTGGTTAAACTTATCAAGTATGAAGCCAGACTGCTTGGGTTCAAATCCCAGCTCCACTACTTCCTTGCCATGTGACCATCATGTTCAGCCTATGTTACAGTTTAGGGGTCATAATAGTACTTGTCTCATAAGGCTTTGTGAGGATAAATGAATCAGTGTGTGCACCAATGTTCTAACGCTGCCTGAATTTCCGTTTTCCCCAAAGCAACCCAGTTACTTATTAACATACTGTTTTTTCCAGTAACCTGTGTTCACCGTTGTTATGTCAATCTCCTCCCGCCAAAATGTAAGCTCTATTTTGTGTTCCTTTGTATCCCCAGTGACTAGAACAATGCCTGTTGCAAAGTAAGCTTTGAGTTAAAAAAAAAAAAAAAAGATGAAAGAATGAAAATGGCAGGCTGCCTAGGAGAACTGGCGCTTCATGATGCTTCACTGTTGCTATGGTGACGATCCAGTCTGCAGGAAGATCCCAGCTTCCATAACCTTGTCCCTACGTGCAACCAGCTCACCCATTGGCCACCTGTATCTGCCGCCGTAGCAGCCAGAAAACTGCAACTCCCAGCAGGCTGAGCGCCACCAGCACTTTCGCGCCTAGTCCCTTTGCTAAGAGCGAGCGCCTGCGCAGTAGAATCCACGGGCCCAGAGCTCCATCTGAGCATGTGCAGGGGGAGGGGTGTTTTCTTCGCCGGCTGGCGGGAGAGGAGTGGGGAGGACCCGGTTACAGGCTGAGCTCGGCTCTCCTTGTCCAGAGGGTCTGGGCACCGGGGCCGCCAACTCGGGGTGAGGAGTGGGGGCGGGAAACCTGCTTCGGTCTCCATGGTTACGAGCCGCTCAGCGCGCTGAGGAAGACTCAAAGGTTAGCGTTGCCACAGTAACCCTGGATTGGAGAGGGGACGGGCATCAGAGACCTGACGGGAGAAATTAGACTTAACAGCCTGGGAACTGGTGGGACGGAGAGCGTGCCGAAGGAATCAGTTTGCAGTAAGGGGAGTTAGGGTGATGTGAGGAGAACTGGGATGCTTTGAATGAGAGGGAATGTTTTGATGAATTCCTACGTAATAAAGAGATTTGTGGGAGATCATTGAATCGATGTTACTAGGTACTTGGGATGCTCAGGGGAAATGCAGTAGGAAAATTGGGGTGTTAAGCTCATTTGCTATTCTGCAGCTATTTATAGAGCTCCTGCTGTAAGCCTGGCTAATTTTTGTATTTTTAATGGAGACGAAGTTTCACTGTGCTGACCAGGCTGGTCTCAAACTGTTGGCTTCAAGCGATCCACCCGCCTTGACCTCCCAAAGTGGTGGGATTACAGGGGTGAGCCACGGCACCTGGCCGAGTTGTAGTTCTTTATTCTGGATATTAGACCCTTGGATACGTAATTTTTAAATATTTTCTCGGATTCTGAAGGCTTGCTTTCTACTTGCTCAGTAATGTCTTTTGATGTACAAAATAGTTTTCATTTCCAACAAAGTCCAATTTCTTTTTTTTTTTTAGCAGCTTGTGCTTTTGATATGGTATCAAACAGTTGCCAAATCCAAGGTCATGGAGATTTACCTAGATGAGAGTACAGTTTTAGCTCTTAGATTTGAACATGTGATCCATTTTAAATTATTGTATGTGTTATATCTGTCGTATGTGTTACTGTATGCATATTACTGTGTGTGTAAGTGTCTTAGTGTTCTCTAGAAGGACAGAACTAATAGAATATAGGTATATAAAAGGAAGTTCATTAAGGAGAATTGACTCACACGATTGCAAGGAAAAGTCCCATGATAGGCTGTCTGCAAGTTGAGGATCAAGGAAGCCAATGGTGGATCAGTCCAATTCCCCAAACCTTAAAAGTAGGGGAGCCAACAAGGCAGCCTTCAGTGTGTGGCCAAAGGCCTGAGCTCCTGGCAAATCACTTGGTGTTAAGTCCAGAACTTAACAAAAGTTGCAGAACTTGGAGTCTGATATTTGTGGGCTGGAGGCATCCAGCACCAGTGGAAAATGAAGGCGGGGAGACTCGGCAAGTCTGCACTTCCTTTGCGCGCTTTATCCCTACCCTGCTGGTTACTGAGTAGATGGTGCCCACCTGGACTGAGGGTGGGTCTGCCCCTCCCAGCCCACTGACTGAAATGTTCATCTCCTTTGGCGACACCCTCACAGACACACCCAGGAACAATACTTTGCATCTTTTGGTCCAATCAAGTCGACACTTAATATCAACCATCATAATGTCCAACTCCATTCTTTGCATGTGGATATCCAGTTGTTACAGCCCCATTTGCTGAAGAGTGTTGCATTATCTTGGCATCCTGTCAAAAATTATTTCACCATAGGTGTGTGGATTTACCTCTGTTCGCTCGCTTTCTTCCTTTCTTTCTCTTTCTTTCTTTTAAAAGTATTTGAAGATTTATAGATTTCTTACAGCTGTTGGTTTATAATAATTTATAAACCAACTACTCATGTAGTCCTATAAAATTAACCTTTGATCATCCTGGATGGCTTTTTGGGGGAGAGGTCATCCAGGGATATTACCTGAGGGATTGATGTGACTTATGATAAAAGAAAAACTTCAGACGTCAACATGATGAAACCCCGTCTCTACTAAAATACAAAAAATTAGCTGGGTGTGGTGACGGGTGCCTGTAATCCCAGCTACTGGGAAGGCTGCGGCATGAGAATGCTTGAACACAGGAGGCGGAGGTTGTTGTGGTCAGCTGAGACCACGCCACTGCACTCCAGCCTAGGCGACAGAGTGGGACTCCATCTCAAAATAAACAAACAGAGTTTAATTGAGCCATGAAAGATTCACGAATCAGGCAGCCTTGAGCCAGAGTAGGCTGAAACTCCAGCACAGCCATGTGGTGGAAGATTTGTGGACAGGGATATTACCCATCAGCAGTATTTGCTTTAGACTTCAGAACTTGTCCTTTAATCTTTAACCTCTAGTGATATTAGGGTGATCTGGGCTCACTGCAACCTCCATCTCCAGTTTCAAGCGATTCTTTCCCCTCAGGCTGCCAAGTAGCTGGGATTACAGGTGTGCACCATCGTGCGCAGCTAATTTTTTAGTAAACAAGGGGTTTCTCCACGTCTCTCAGGCTGGTCTCGAACTCCTGACCTCAGGTGATCCACGTGCCTCGGAGTGCTGGGATTACAGGCGTGACACACCACACCCGGCAATCATGACTTTTTGGTTTTTTATTTTGTTTTGGGATTCCCCTCATGGCCTCTTTTCCTGTATATTCCCACGTCCTTTAATTTCATCATAATTGCTTTCTCTGGGAGACTTTGTCTTAGATTTGCCCACCTCCCCACACACTCTTCTGTGTTCTAGATCCCTGCTCTGCGCACCTTTAACTCACTGCCTGGGTCTTTGGTTCTTGTCCTTGTCTGGCTGTTTTCCCATGTACTGCTTCCGCTTTGTGACTGCTCTAGGCATTCCTCCTACTACAAACTACTATATGGTTATATAGAAGGATTATATAAATCAGCACTAAATGTGTCGGTACAGCTCTGACTACATCTGTTATATGATTATGTAGAAAGATTATATGAAACTAAGTATGCTAGATATAAGTACTAAGTATGATTATATAAGCTAGATATATGTAAGCAGTAAGTTATACTTCAGGCACTAATTCTTTAAACTAATATATGATTATATATAAAGGATTATATAAAGGAAATAGCTGAGTAATAACACTATAAACTAAGATATTCTTCAGGCACTAATTGTGCCCGGGATTTGCATAGCTCTCCTTCCTCAGAGCCCATGTAGGGGGTTACCTACAGTGGCAGACACCTGTAATTCCAGCTACTCGAGAGGCTGAGGCAGAGAATTGCTTGAACCCAGGAGGCAGAAGTTGCAGTGAGGCGAGATTGTGCCACTGCATTCCAGCCTGGGTGACAGAGCAAGACTCCATCTCAAAAAAAAAAAAGAGAAAGAAATTTAATCCCCATGTAACAGTATTGAGAGGTGAGAGTATTTAAGAGGTGACTGAGCATGAGGACAGAGCCCTTATGAATGGATTAATCTCCATTCATGGTTTAATCAATTAAGGGGTTACATGGGAGTAGGACTGGTGGCTTTATAATAAGTGGGAGCAAAACCTGAGCTAGCACCCTCAGCCACCATGCCATGTGACACCCCATGCTGCCCTGGGACTCTGCAGAATTCCCACTGGCATGAAGCCACATGTGGCTTCTGACCCTGGACATCTCAGGCTCCATAACTGGAAGAAATAAATTCTTTTTCTTTATACATTACCTCATTTCAGGTATTCTGTTATAAGCACAAGAAAACAAGCTAAGACAGATACCGGTAAGTCTTCTGAAACAAATACTCGATCACCACCTGCAGAGGTCTGTCCTGCAGACCCTGACTCCAGGATAGAGGAATAAATGCACTCTTACTCCTATTTCAGTGATTCAAGTGGGCTAGGGATGGTCTTCGGCCACTTTCCAAGGGCAACCATGGCCAATCAACCAAGACCCTCTCCACATCCTCTCATTTATTCAGTATCAATTTCATAACAGAGGTTAAAAGTCAACGTGCTTGTGGATAATTAACATGTTTAAAAGAGTGCTTTTACACATGATAAAACCTTTAGGTTCCGGGGCGCAGAGTATACACTATTAACAAGTAATTCTCTTTTGAGCTCCCTGAGAGGACCATCCAGCACAAAGTTTACATGAGCAAACAAATTAGAGTAGAGACAAAGGGATGTGGGGTAAACAGACTTCACTGGGGAAGCCTCTTATTGTCCCTATCTTTTCCCTAACATAATGGACTGGCTGCCTTCAGCCTGTTCCAATAAAAGCTTTCAGACTTCCAAAAGGTTTGAGACTATATAACTTTCCCTAATATTTCCCTAATATTTTGCTAGCCACCCCGAGTGAACCCCAACATGGGGTGGTGATGGTTAGACCTGCCATGCCAAGGGCTGGGTGGACATTCCAAACGGAGGTTAAGAGTCAGGGCGAGATTGGATCAAGATTGGCTTGTTTGGGGAACAGGGAGAAGGCTGGGGGTGAGGCAGAGGAAGTACGAGGGCAATTGATAAGAGATGAAGTTGAACAGTTGGGAACCAGGAAGGCTCCACACTTGTCACCCCACACATCAACTTTCTGCAGTGATGACGTTACTGTGTGGAAGGTCTTGACTGTGAGTTGTCAGGGTTCTTGATGTGTTGAACGAAGAATTGAACAAAATCACACACAAAGCAACAAAAGAGCGGAGTAAAGAAAGCACAGATTTATTGAAGCAAAAGTATGCTCCACAGAATGGGGGCGGGCTTGAGCAAGTGGATCAAGAGCCCCAGATTGCAGCGTTTTTTAGGTTTTTTGTTTGTTTGTTTTTGAGATGGAGTCTCACACTGTTGCCCAGGCTGGAGTGCAGTGGCACAATCTCAGCTCACTGCAACCTCCGTCTCCCGGGTTCAAGTATTCTCCTGCCTTGGCCTCCCAAGTAGCTGTGCCTACGAGTGCACACCACCACGCCCAGCTAATGTTTTTTTTTTTTTTTTTTTTTTTTTTTTTTGAGACGGAGTTTCGCTCTTGTTACCCAGGCTGGAGTGCAATGGCGCGATCTCAGCTCACCGCAACCTCCGCCTCCTGGGTTCAGGCAATTCTCCTGCCTCAGCCTCCTGAGTAGCTGGGATTACAGGCACGTGCCACCATGCCCAGCTAATTTTTTGTAGCTTTAGTAGAGACGGGGTTTCACCATGTTGACCAGGATGGTCTCGATCTCTTGACCTCGTGATCCGCCCACCTCCACCTCCCAAAGTGCTGGGATTATAGGCGTGAGCCACCGCATCCAGCCGTAAGTGCTGTTCTTAGTGTTGGCTTCAACACTCCGACTTTTCCTGACTATCCCTAGCTCCTCATACAACCCAAGTACTCTGTAATACCTATGTCCCCTATCATAACCCACTCTTCACCAAGGACCCATAATGAGAGTTGCCAAATAAAATACAGAATGCCCAGCTAAATTTGAATTTCTGATAAACAGGGAGTAACTACAGTATTATGCATTTCCTGAAATTAGAATGTAACTGGGCATTGCTTTCCCCCTAAATCTGGTAACCCTATCCCTAAATCCCTTTGCATAGTAAGGAATCCGCAGTGCTTCCTAGAGGCTGCTACTGAGTTGGCTTTCTATAATTAGTAACAGAATTAACTTATATAATACCTCAATTCCCTTATAAAATCTCCAGCTTCTCCTTATAGCGCCAGTTCTTCCCAGTCGCCTCCCAGTCGCTCCCATAGAGGACAAGAGTCCACTTTTCCTCTACCTCTCCTGCTCCGTGAAACCCCAATTCCCTCTGTTGTCACATCTGTCCGGTTCACCAGTACTGTCAACATCTGACCATGCCAGGCTTACAGCAGGAGCTCTATAAATAGCTGCAGAATAGCAAATGAGCTTAACACCCCAATTTTCCTACTGCATTTCCCTTGAGCATCCCAAGTACCTAGCAACATCGATTCAATGATCTCCCACAAATCTCTTTATTACATAGGAATTCATCAAAACATTCCCTCTCATTCAAAGCATCCCAGTTCTCCTCACATCACCCTAACTCCCCTTACTGCAAACTGATTCCTTCGGCACGCTCTCCGTCCCACCAGTTCCCAGGCTGTTAAGTCTAATTTCTCCCGTCAGGTCTCTGATGCCCGTCCCCTCTCCAATCCAGGGTTCCTGTGGCAACGCCAAACTTTGAATCTTCCTCAGCGCGCTGAGTAGCTCATAACCATGGCGACCGAAGCAAGTTCCCCGCCCCCACTCCTCACCCCGAGTTGGCAGCCCCGGTGCCCAGACCCTCTGGACAAGGCTCGGCCTGTAACCGGGTCCTCCCCACTCCTCTCCCGCCAGCCGGCGAAGAAAACACCCCGCCCCCTGCACATGCTCAGATGGAGCTCTGGGCCCGTGGATTCTACTGCGCAGGCGCTCGCTCTCAGCAAAGGGACTAGGCGTGAAAGTGCTGGTGGCGCTCAGCCTGCTGGGAGTTGCAGTTTTCTGGCTGCTACGGCAGCAGATACAGGTGGCCAATGGGTGAGCTGGTTGCAGGTAGGGACAAGGTTATGGAAGCTGGGATCTTCCTGCAGACTGGATCGTCACCATAGCAACAGTGAAGCATCATGAAGCGCCAGTTCTCCTAGGCAGCCTGCCATTTTCATTCTTTCATCTTTTTTTTTTTTTTTGAACTCAAAGCTTACTTTGCAACAGGCATTGTTCTAGTCACTGGGGATGCAAAGGAAAACAAAATAGAGCTTACATTTTGGCGGGAGGAGATTGACATAACAACGATGAACACAGGTTACTAGAAAAAACAGTATGTTAATAAGTAACTGGGTTGCTTTGGGGAAAACGGAAATTCAGGCAACGTTAGAACATTAGTGCACACACTGATTCATTTATCCTCACAAAGCCTTATGAGACAAGTACTATTATGACCCCTAAACTGTAACATAGGCTGAACATGATGGTCACATGGCAAGGAAGTAGTGGAGCTGGGATTTGAACCCAAGCAGTCTGGCTTCATACTTGATAAGCTTAACCACAAGGCCAAGGTGGTAAATAGCCGTATGGCATAATTTCAAGTAGTGATAAGGGCTGTGAAGGATAAAGCAAAGAAAGGGGCTGGTGTGGCTCTTTAGAGACACAAGTTAAGGATGGCTTTCAGGGGGAGGTGGCATTTGAGCAGGGGCCTGAGGGATTGATGTGACTTGTGATAAAAGAAAAACTTCACATGAATTAAATTTAAAGAAGTTGAATTGCCGGGCACGGTGGCTCACACCTGTAATCCCAGTACTTTGGGAAGCTGAGGAGGGCAGATGGCTTCAAGTCAGGAGTTCAAGAACAGCCTGGCCCACATGATGAAACCCCGTCTCTACTAAAATACAAAAAATTAGCCGGTGTGGTGGCGGGTGCCTGTAATCCCAGCTACTGGGAAGGCTGAGGCATGAGAATGCATGAACACAGGCGGCGGAGGTGGTTGTGGTGAGCCGAGATCATGCCACTGCACGGCAGCCCAGGCAACAGAGCGAGACTCCATCTCAAAATAAATAAACAGAGTTTAATTGAGCCATGAAAGATTCACGAATCAGGCAGCCTTGAGCCAGAGTAGGCTGAAACTCCAGCACAGCCATGTGGTGGAGGATTTGTGGACAGAAAAAGGCAGGTGGCATACAGAAAACGGAAGTGAGGTACAGAAAACAGCTGGATTGATTACAGTTCAGTGTTTGCCTTATTTGAACACAATTAGACCAGTTGGCTACATGTGATTGCCGAAAACTCAGCGATTGGCACAAGTGTAGGCTCACCTTTGGTTTATACCTCACTTGTTACAGTTCACGATGTACAGAAAACCCTTCAGGCCGAACTTAAAATACGTAAGGAGGCAGCTTTAGGCTAAACGTGAATTGACAGTTGTGAGCTGGACATGTGAGGCATATGGAGAGGGTCAAGAGTCACCAACCTTTAGTTTCCTCTCGCCTTCCTGAAGAGCAAAATACTGTGATTCCTGCAGTTCCCTCCAACAAGAACGTACTTCTTCATTCTCTTTTCCTGGCAAACACATTCTTCAAGGCCCAGTTCTATGAAGAAACTTCTGCCTGTTTTTTTTTATTTTAATTTATTTGTATTTGTTTGTTTATGGTCACATACATCTCTTCCTGCTCTGGACTCATCCAATCCATTTGTCACAGCAAAGCTTCTGAAGGAGAGGAGGTGGATATTCCAACGTACATCCAATCAAGCCACTCTCTGTTTAAAACCTTTTGAAGAGGCCGGGCGTGGTGGCTCACGCCTGTAATCCCAGCACTTTGGGAGGCCGAGGTGGGTGGATCACGAGGTCAAGAGATCGAAAAATACAAAAATTAGCTGGGCATGGTGGTGCATGCCTGTAGTCCCAGCTACTCGGGAGGCTGAGGCAGGAGAATTGCCTGAACCCAGGAGGCGGAGGTTGCCGTGAGCCAAGATCGCGCCATTGCACTGCAGCCTGGGGAACAAGAGCAAAACTCCGTCTCAAAAAAAAAAAAAAAAAATTAAAACCTTTTGAAGGCTTCCCATACCTCCCAGGATAAACACCTCATCTTCTCTCTCTAAGGGCTTGCTGATCTCACTATCCAAATCTCTCCGTCTCTCACCCACTGACCCATCTACACTGGCCCATCTTCTTTTATCTTATGGGCTTTGTTTTCCACCCCAGGGCTCCGTTCGTTATTTGTTGAATGAATTAACGAATTAAATCAGTTTCCCATCACTAACCAGATAACCCACATCTAAGAATCTAATGATAAAACAGGCACATGGAGAAGTTTTGGAATTGGTCTGGATTCAATTGCTGTTGTGTTTGACTTCCCAGAATCCCTCCCTCCCTCCCTCCTTCCTTTCTTTCCTTCTTCCTTCCTTTCTTTCTCTTTCTTTTCCTTCTCATTCTTTTTTCTTTCTCTTTCTTCTTTTACTTTTCTTTTTCTTCTTTTTCTCTTTTCTGTCTCTTCTTTTTCTTTTCTCTTTTCTTTCTCTCCCTTTCTTTTTCTTCTTTTTGCCTTCTTTTTCTTTCATCTCTTTCTCTTTCTTCCTTTCCTTTCCTTTCTTTCTTCCCCAGAATGAGACCCTGTCTCTAACAAAATATGTATATTTTACTGAAGAAGCCCCCTGGTACAGCAGACTCCAGGGACTCAACTTAGGCAAGGAAAGATCCAGATTGTCTTCATCTTAGCTCTGTCATCCTCATTGTGGACTTCATTATCACACCATGCCAGAGTCGTCAGCTGCAGGTCTAGGCCTGATCATGTCATGCTAGGTCTTCTTAGTAATGAGAGAACCTTTATTAGAAGCCTGTTAGGCTGGGCACGGTGGCTCATGCCAGTCATCCCGGGGGGCCGAGGCGAGCAGATCACCTGAGGTCAGGAGTTCGAGACCACCCTGGCCAAAATGGTGAAACCCCAACTCTACTGAAAATACAAAAAATAGCCAGGGGTGGTGGCACACAGCTGTATTCCCAGCTACTTGGGTAGCTGAGGCATGAGAATCACTTGAACCTCGGAGGTTGGAGGTAGCAGTGAGCCAAGATCATGCCACTGCATTCCAGCCTGGGTGACAGAGCTAGACTCTATCTCAAAACAAAAAACAAAAAAAGAAAGAAAGAGGAAAAAAAAAAAAAAAGCCTCCTAGGCTGAGCACAGTGGCTCACACCTGTAATCCCAGCACTTTGGGAGGCTGTGGCAGGAGGATCGCTTGAGTCAAGAAGTTCAAAGCCAGCCTGAGCAACATAGCAAGACCCTGTCTCTACAAAAATATAAAAATAGAAAAAGAAGCCTCCCACCTCAACCTGAGCAGACTCGTTGGCCAGGACTGGGTCCCATACCCATTCTGTTACCAGAACATTTGGCATGAGTCAGTCATTTGAAGGCAGAATTGACTCATGTCAAGAAGTTGCACAGGGAGGCCCTGGTTTAGATGATGATGAAGCTTGAGTTGCTGTGGAGATGAATTCACTGTGGCTCCTCTATCCATCTAGCCCCAGGAGGCCTTGTTGGTAGAAGGAATGAAAGAACGCTGGACCATCTCGACTATTCCCTGGATCTGGGACTCCCACCCAAGCCCAGAAGCGAAGAACTCATCACGGAAACCAAAATAAGATTGTTTTATTCCAATTCTGAAGCACAAATAGTCCAAACAATTCCCCTCCCCTGCTGGAGACTCTCCCAACTCCCAGTGCCCTCCCTACTCTCTCTTCAGAAGGCGAAGGTGGTCCAAGTGTCCAGGTCTTGGAGAAACAGCAAAAGCACTCCCCGATCCATTTCTTCTCTACCCATCTCCCACACATTTCTTTTGTCTCCTCTCTGTTTTTTCTTCCCCTTCCTACATCCAGTCCCTTCCTCTCCTGCTCCCCCAGCTTTTCCACGTCTTCATTTCTGCCTCTTTGCTTGTCCTCTCTCTCCTCCATTTCTGGGTCCCCCTTCTATCCCTTCTCGCTGACCTCCCCTCCTTCATCTGTCTTCCATACTTTCTCCCTTTCCCCGCTCACCGTCTGCACTCCCTAGACTGCTCAGTCTACTCTTGCCAGACACTCCCCCTGTCATTGCTTCCTCATCCTCCCCTCAGCTCTGCCCCTTTCCTTCCTTCTGCCCCAGCCTGACCCTGTCTACACCTCTCATCACACACTTCCTCTCCAGAGGGAAGCCCTCAGCGTCCGCCCCGGCCATCAACACCTTCCCCAGCTGTGGTTCCAGGACCTCAGAGACCACTGTCATCTTGCCCTTGGACCCAGAGAGGCAAACTGCCATGAGGAGGTCCCTGGATGACCCAGGAGGTGGCCAGGGGGATTGCAGTGGTCTCCTTGGCCTCAGCCCTATTATCTTTGGGATCGAAGAATACCCCCCCACCCTCCCGTTGGAGGGTGGTGGGCAGAGGCATGAAGTGTCAGGGCTCTGGGGCTCTCCCCCAGCAATCCCTGAGCAGGTCCATGTGGAATAAGGCTGCCCCAGTGAGGAGGCGCGCTGCAAAGAGGTGTCTGCAGGGCAGACGGCGGGCGGCGTGGATTGAGCAGCTGCAGCGTGTCAGGGCCCCATCCAGGAAGAAGTCTGAGGTGCCATCCTTAAGGGCAAAGCCAGCTCCGGTCCAGTGGAAACCCCGGGTCCCATGCTGCCTAGCGAAGGCCAACTCCTCAGCCACCAGGTCTGCCAGCTCAGGCCCGCAGGCTGCTCGGAATTTGGCCAGGGGTTCCCAGTCCACCTCCTCCTCTCCCGGGGGCCGGCAAAGCCTCTTTGGTTCCCTGGGGCCATCTTCGCCTCCTTCCTGCAGGCACTCACCTGCAGCCAGGCGTTCACTCCTCACCGCTGCCCATTCTGGGCTGCCTTCCAATACAGTCCCCACTGGAGTACCACACGCGACTCCATTCCCCAGCCCGAGACACCGCCCTCCTGCGTCTCCCCACTCCATCCCTCGTCCAGCTCGGCTCTTGGGGCCCAGGGACCGGGCTCCCCCTCCATCTCCATTCTCCAGGCCCGTGACTCTCGTGTCCCCCAGCTGGACCAGAACGACCTCCTCCAGGCCCCTTCTTCTTTTGGCCCCCACCCTCGCTCCCCTCTCTTCTGCCATCTCCGGCCCTCTCCTCTCATCTTCACACTGGGGGCCCCTTTGGTCTCCGTTCTCAGGGGCCAACTCCAGGGACTTCTCCAAAGGGACCCCCCTCAAATTTCTGACCTCCAGCCCCCTCCCTTTCTCTATGTCTAACTGTGGCCCCTTCCATTCTCCAGTTCTCAGCCCCCCCGCCCTATCATCGTGCAGCTGCGCCCCCCTCCAGGGGCTTCCTTCAAGACTCCTGGTCCTCTCATAGTCAAACTGTGTCCCCCTCTGGTTGGTGGTCTCCAGCACCCTATTCCTGCGATCCTCCAACTGGGCCAGCCTCCAGGGATACCCTTCCAATCCTCTTAGCGCCTGGTCCTCCAACTGGGCCCCCCTCCAGACATAACCTTCCAGTCCCCAATCTTTCTCACCCTCCAACTGGGGCCCCCTCCGGTCTCTAATCTCTGGCTCTCTCGGGTGCCCTTTCTCCAACTGGGACGCTCTCCAGATAACCCCTTCCAGTCCCCTCGGCTTCTGATTCTCCAAGTGGCCCCCTCTCCAGTCTCTGATCTGCAGCGCCCTCCCTTTCTCACCTTCTAACGGAGCCCCACCCCAGTCTCTGGTTTCCAGTCCTCGGGCCCACTCCTTCTCCATCTGGGCCCCCCTCCAAATACTTCCTTCTTTCGGAACCCCTCCCCAGTCGCCTGTCTCCAGGCCCCTCAGCCTGTCGTTCTCCACCTGGGCCCCCCTCCCCGGCTCACCCTCCAGCCACAGCTCCCCGCCATCCGGGCCCTCGGGCACCGCCTCCCCAGCTGCGTCGGCCCACTGCATGGCCACCAGGTCCCGAAGGCACTGAGCCACGCCACGCGAGGGGCTGAGACGGCGCAGCAGTCGCCGGCGGTGGCCTCGCACCAGGGCGCACGCGTCCAGGTCCCGGGCCGCCTCGAAGGCGCGGAAGCGGACCCACATGTCGCGGCGGGGCTCCCAGTTGCGCTCGAAGTAGTCGACGAAGGCGGCCGGGCCATGGGCGTGCAGCTCGGCCAGCGCCTCGTCGTAGGCTGCGGGCGACGACGCGCCAGCCAGGCGGCACAGGCGCGACCACAGGCCCGGGTCCTCGCGGCCAGCGCCGCCCAGCTCTTGCGCCTTGCTGAAGAGCGTCTCCAGGCCCTGCGCGCGGCAGATCTGCACACGCGCGCAGGGCAGCAGCTGACGCACCGCGGGCAGCTGTGCCGCCACCTCCGGCCCGGCGGTGAGGCAGCGCACGCGGCCTTTGACGTCTGGCGCACTCTGCAGCAGCGACGCCAGCGCGAAACGCAGCAGGCTCGGCGTGCCCGGGCGCGCCACGCAACAGGCAGCCTGGCGCGCACGGCCCGCGCCGTCCACGCACAGCACGGCCAGCAGATCCAGCGCGCCCTGCAGCCCCGGCAGCCGGTCCACCAGCAGCATGCGCGGGAAGCGCCGCAGCAGGGCCCTGGTGCGCGACGTCAGGAAGAACACCGTCTCCACCACCGCCTGGTCCTCCACGAACACCAGCTTCACCTGCGGGCGGGGCCAGGGAGGTAAGGAAAGAGGTCAGAGGATGCTGGGGTCCCCCCGCCCAGCTCCTCGACCTCGGTTTCCTCTTCTATGGAAATGGGAACTCATTCATTCTTGCCTGCATATGCATTTATTCTTGTGAGCAGCAGGGGGCAGTGCAGGGAAATGGTAAAAAACAGACTCTCGCAGTGGCTCACGCCTGTAATCCCAGCATTTTGGGAGACCGAGGAGGGTGGATCACGAGGTCAAGAGATCGAGACCATCCTGGTCGACATGGTGAAACCCCGTCTCTACTAAAAATACAAAACATAGCTGGGCATGGTGGTGCCTGCCTGTAATCCCAGCTACTCGGGAGGCTGAGGCAGGAGAATTGCCTGAACCTAGGAGGTGGAGGTTGCGGTGAGCCGAGATCATGCCATTGCACTCCAGCCTGGGTAACAAGAGGGAAACTCCATCTCAAAAAAAAAAAAAAAAAAAAATACAAAAATTAGGTTGCAGTGAGCCAAGATCGTGCCACTGCACTCCAGCCTGGGTGACAGAGCAAGACTCTGTCTCAAAACAAAACAAAACAAAACAAAAATTAGCCGGGCCTGGTGGCACACGCCTGTAGTCCCAGCTACTCGGGAGGCTGAGGCAGGGAAATCGCTTGAACTTGGGAGGCAGAGATTACAGTGAGCCAAGATCGCACCACTGCACTCCAGCCTGGTGACAGAGCAAGTCTCCGTCTAAAAAGAAAAAAAAAGGTGTCAACAATCTTGTCCAATCTTGTCCATATTGGGCACATCTTTTTTGTCTGACCCTCTCCAAAGATCCAGAGAGCAACCCCAACTCAGAGAGTGTCAGGCACTTTTCACAAAATAATCCTTCCTTTGGAAGACTGCTGGGAAGTGCAAAGACCATTTGATTGTTACTTGACTAGGCTTGGGATGAAACTTTTTTTTTTGGCATGGAGTTTTGCTCTTGTTGCCCAGGCTGGAGTGCAATGGCATGATCTCGGCTCACCACAACTTCCGCCTCCTGGGTTCAAGTGATTCTCCTGCCTCAGCCTCCAGAGTAGCTGGAATAACAGGTATGTGCCACCATGCCGGGCTAATTTTGTATTTTTAGTAGAGACGGGGTTTCTCCATGTTGGTTGGGCTGCTCTTGAACTCCCCGCCTCAGGTGATCCGCCTGCCTCAGCCTCCCAAAGTGCTGGGATTACAGGTGTGAGCCACCGCGCCCAGCCCTGGGATGAAAATTTAAAGCTCTTCATTTATTTATTTATTTTGAGAGAGGGTCTCACCCGGTTGTCGAGGCTGGAGCGCAGTGGTGTGATCATAGCATACTGCAGCCTCAGCCTCCTGGGCTCAGGCAACCCTCATGCCTCCGCCTCCCAAGTAGCTGGGACGACAGATGCATGCCACTATGCCTGACTTTTTAAATTTTTTGTAGAGACAGGGGCTTGTTATGTTGGCCAGGCTGGTCTTGAACTCTTGGGCTCAAGTGATCCTCTCGTTTTGGCCTCCCAAAGTGTTGGAATTACAGATGTGAGCCATTACACCTATTGTATTATTAATATTACATATTATAATATGAATTACATATTATAATATTAATATTGCACATCTATTACATTATATTGTTATTATATTATTAATACATTAATAATATCAAACTCTTTCTGTAGATTTTATAAGTAAAAAAAGTGAAGCTTCTGTGTAAAAGTGATGGATTGAATACCTCTCTAGTTTCTTTCTTGAACCTCAAGTACGTCTATTTTTTAAATGGCTTTTTAAAAAAAATAAAATAAATAAAGACAGAGGCAATATGACAGGGACAGAACTTTGGAAACTGGAAAGCAGGCAGACATGCTTATTCCACCCCACCCCACCCCCCAAAAACCCATGAATCCTCAGCCAGCAATTGGAGGATGCTGAGAACCAGTAGCAAATTCTCCAAAGGAGCTGGCAACACCAGGCCAGTTTTGTGCAAGGGAAACTAAAGATTAACTGAGGGCTGTTTCAGCAGCAGCTAGACCTCCAAATCCTGTTTCCCCTCTCCCGGGACTGAATGCAACTTGCTGACTGAATGCCTGCCAGCTCCCTGCCTCTGCCCTGGTGTGGCTCCCACAGCTGGCAGCCTGCCCTTCACCCCCAGCCAGGAGGTTGGAGGATTTTTCTCAGGGGGATTTGACCAGTCCCAGAGGACGAACGAAAGACGCTGACATCTGGCACTCCCCGACATATAAAGCAAGATGCAAAACAGCGTGTACAAGCTGGGTGCAGTGGCTCACACCTGTAATCCCGGCACTTCGGGAGGCCAAAGTGAGTGGATCACTTGATTGTGATCCAAAACCTCGTCTCTACTAAAAATTAGCCAAGTGTGGTGGTGCATGCCTGTAATCCCGATTACTCAGGAGGCTGAGGCAGGAGAATCACTTAAGCCCAGGAGGTGGAGGCTGTAGGGAGCCAGCAGCGTGCCACTGCACTCCAGCCTGGGTGACAGGAGTGAAACCCTGTCTCAAAAAAAACAAAACAAAACAGTGTGTACAATAGGCTGCCTTGTTGGGGGTGGGGGATGGGGAAGACAGAAAGAAGAAATAAAGTTAAAAATACAGACATGCAAATTGGCCTGTATATGTGCAGAGCGGTGCTGTCCCATCCAGAAGCTACCAGCCACATTAGGTTGTTTACATTTCAATAAATCACATGAAAATTTCATTCCTCAGTCACACAGGCCTCATTAAGTATTCCATAGCCATGCGTGACCAGTGGCCTCTTTCCTGGACTATAGGTAAGAACCACTTTCTTTCTTGCTTTTTGTTTTGTTTTGTTTTTTGAGACAAGAGTCTCACTCTGTTACCTAGGCCAGAGTGCAGTGGCGTAATCTCAGCTCACTGCAACCTCCACCTGCCGGGTTCAAGTGATTCTTGTGCCGCAGCCTCCCAAGTAGCTGAAATTAAAGGCACCCACCACCATGCCTGGCTAATTTTGAAGTTTTAGTAGAGACCAGGTTTCTCCATATTGGCCAAGCTGGTCTTGAACTCCTGATACCAGGTGATCTACCTGCCTCAGAGTCCCAAAGTGCTGGGATTACAGGCGCAAGTCACCATGCCCAGCCTGAATAAAGACCATTTCTATCACTGTAGAAAGTTCCACCGGGCAGTGCTGGTCCATAGGATAGAAAGCCAGATATGATTTATAAGCCACTGATAACTCTGGGGGCAGGACAGAGGGGGCCTGGGGGACAGGAGGTGACAAGACTTTTCACCACATACCCTTTTTAGAACCAGGTGAATACATGACATATTCAAAAAGTAAATATTTAAATGTTGCTTCACTCTCTGTCTTCTCTCCTAGAACTTCTTCCTCTTTTTTTTTTTTTTTTTTTTTTTTTTTTTTTTTTTTTTTTTTTTTTTTGAGACAGAGTCTTGCCCTGTCACCTAGGCTGCAGTGCAGTGGTGTGATCTCAGCTCACTACAACCTCGGCCTCCTGGGTTCAAGTGGTTTTTCGGCCTCAGCCTCTCGAGTAGCTGGGACTACAGGCGCACACCACCACGCCTGGCTAATTTTTGTATTTTTAGTAGAGAAGGGGTTTACCATATTGGCCAGGCTGGGGTCTCAAACTCCTGACCTCGTGATCCGCCCGCCTCGGCCTCCCAAAGTGCTGGGATTCCAGGCGTGAGCCGCCGCGCCCGGCCTTCCTCCCTTCATTTAGTGGTATTAAGGCAGGCCAAAACACAGACCCAGAAGCCAACCTTGGTTGAGCCTAGATTCCAAGACAGTCTTCAAAATGAAAAGTCAATCCCTTTCCAGGGAAGGCTCTAATTTATGAATGAGCTGCTTCGCATAGGAGCAGTCCTACAGAGGGCGGTTCCAGGGATGAGCGGCTGAGGCTTATTTTATGTAATGGTGGGCAGTGGGTGAGAGACAGTAGGTCAGCAAGGACCAGCAGAGGAGGAAATGCATGTGTGTGTGTCCCCATGGTGAAGACCATCGGTCTAGATCCAGGCTGTATGGGTCCAAAGCCCAGCTCTGTCACTAAATAGCTGTATGACTTTGAGCCAGTTACTTGACATCTCTTTGCTTCGGTTTTCTTGTCTGTAACATGGTGATGAGAATGGTGGTCTGTTTCCTCACAGGGCTCTGGTGAGACTGAAATGAGTTGTAGTATGGAAAGCACTTAGGGTAGTGCCTGGCATATCGTAAGTGCTTGATAAACATTAGCTAGAATTATCATTGACATTATGTCGGGTCAGAGGACTGGGCTTGGGCTGGTAGCGTGAATCAGGGTTTCTTCTTTTTTTGTTGTTGTTGAGACGGAGTCTTACTCTGTTGCCAGGCTGGAGTACAGTGGCGTGGTCTCAGCTCACTGCAACCTCCACTTCCCAGGTTCAAGTGATTCTCCTGCCTCAGCCTCCTGAGTAGCTGGGACTACAGGGGTGTGCCACCATGCCCAACATTTTTTTTTTTTTTTTGTTATTTTAATAGAGACAGGGTTTCACCATGTTGGCCAGGATGGTCTCGATCTCCTGACCTCATGATCCCGCCGCCTCTGCCTCCCAAAGTGCTGGGATTACAGGCGTGAGCCACTGTGCCCAGCCTCTCCTTTATAATACTCATCGCTCCGTCATATTACTGGACATGGCGCTTTCTCTTCTAATTCTCCATCTGGGTGGTGGGTTCAGGTGTGTTCTCCCCTTGTGAACATTCATCAAACTAAATACTTATTATTTGTGCATTTTCTATTTGTGTAGTTCAATTTTTAAATAAAAATATAAATAGGCCAGGCGTGGTAGCTCATGCCTGTAACCCCAGCACTTTGGGAGGCCGAAGCAGGAGGACTGCTTGAGTCCAGTTCAAGACTAGCCTGGGCAACACAGGGAGACCCCCCCAACATCTCTGCAAAAACTAAAAAACTGGGTGTGATGGTGCACGCCTGTTGTTCCAGCTACTTGGGAGAATGAGGTGAGAGGACCGATTGCACCTGGGACGTTGAGGGTGCAGTGAGCCATGACTGCACCACTGCACTCAGCCTGGGTGACACTGAGGTCTCAAAAAAAAAAAAAAAAAAAAAGAGAAAACATAGCGCTTGGCATCCCTGCGGCCCCTCTCCTTGCTAGCTCTCGGTCCCTAGTGATATTAGATCACATTTGCATGTGTTTGGCGGTTGTTGGCTTCTCCTGCTAGAACTGCAAGGTGGTTCTAGCAGTTACCTCTGCAAGGTAGCCTAGAGCCGTAAGTAACTATTTAAATTTCAATTAATTAAACGAAATTCAGTTCCTCAGTGTAGGGGCCACATTTCAAGGGCTCAATAGCCACGTGGGGCTGGGAGCTACCATCCTGAGCAGTGCAGAAACACAGAACGTTTCCTTCATGGAAGAAAGTTCTATTGGATAGCTACACTAGAAGGTGAGAGCGCTGCTGACAGAGACCACGTGTGTCTGGTTTGCTGCTGCATCCCCAATGCCTCGGTAATTACTCATTGAATGAATGAACAGATGAATGGAATCAAGGAATGAAGGGATGGGAGGGCGGATGAAGGAATGAATGAACCACGAGTCTTCAGCGTGGCTCTCCCCCGCCCCCCATCCTGCCTCTCCCGAGACCCCACCTTGGCCTCGGGGTCGGTGCGGAAGAGGCCCTCAAGCACGTGTAGGGCGTCCAGGACCCCGTGGTCGCGGCCTTTGCAGTAGGAGAGCAGGCGGCGCACGTCGGCTGGGGCCACGAACTGCTTGGAGATCTTGTTGGTGGTGCGCACCGGCAGACAGGCGTTGGCCAGCAGGTGGCCCGGGCGGAAGTAGTAGGCAAACTCCAGCGGGCAAGCCGGGTGTGAGTGGGTCAGCTGGCACTCCGTCACCACGAGGCGGTCCCGCAGCGGGCTCAGCTTGACGATGATGAAGGCGGGGCAGCCGGGCTGGGGGGGCCTGTGGGAGAAAGGACCGCCACCGTGGTCACGGCACTCTGCTGCCCTCTTCTTCCTTTCTACTCTCCTTTTTTTTTAAACTAAGAATTTAATTTTCAGGCATAGAGGAGTAGAGGGCCTTAAGAGAATGCCAGCTGTGTGACCTTGGGCAAGTAAATTCAAGTTTCTGTGCCTCAGTCTCCTCATAGGTTAAAAGGGAGACCCCACTTATCATAGCTTCCTCATAGAATTGTTATGAAAGAGTGCATGAAGGAGTTAATACAGGTAAAGCTTGGCCTCTGGAGGTGGTTCAGTAAATATGTGATGACTCAATGACTGAATCCCATGATGTAATCTGCAAACCCTGGCACACCCGCTTTCGGAGATGGTCTTCATTCCATCTAAACCATCCAGCACCAAGTCCTACCCATCCACTTTTTTTCCATTTCCACAACCTATTGTAAGTTCTTTCCTCTTTTCATAAAACATTCCTCTCCTTTCTCACCTAGTCATCTCCTACTCATCCTTCAGGCCTCACAGCCAGCATCACCTCCTCCAGGAAGTCTTCCCTGACCATATCCAGGTTAGGGCAGGGTCCATCACATGTAGGGATCTGTATTTATTTCCATCTGTAATGTACATTCCCCACAGACAGCTGAGCATCTAAAACAAACATCTTGCACATTGCAGGAGCACCCAAAAACCTCTTGGATGAAGGGATGGATAGGCTGGTGCCCAAAACCAACACATCCTTAGGGTACCTATAACACATTCCACCCTCACACGGAGGATTGAATAACTGAAATAAAGATGAGGGGAGGAGAGAGAAAGAGAAAGTGAGAAAGAAAGGCGGGAGGGTAGTAATTAAAGGCATGGGCTTAGGAACGAGAATGAGGGTCCAGATCCTGGTTTGCCCGCTTAGCGGCTATGTTATCCTGGGAACACTTGTTAAGCATTCTGTGCCTCAGTTTTCTTACCTGGAAAG